ACCTATCTACGGAACCCCGAACGACCCTCCTTTGTCAGCTCGGTCTTTTCGGGCGCAGGTGCCATTGAGTTGCCCCGGAGTTCCGCAGTCAGTGAAAACCCCGTTTTCTATGAGTTGAAGGAGCCGATTGAACCGGCCATATTTGAGACGCTGGTGTCGGAAATGGACAAAGAGTCGGTGGTTCGCTATGCTTCAGGCACCAAAGACATCAGCGCTGCTACGCCGGCACGTATCGTCGCCCAAATATCGTCCGCGTCCTTCATGGACTATGAGCTTGTATCCGATTTCTTCCTGACATTTCGCTCTTATATCTCGACTAGCACCCTTCTGGCACTGCTTCTCGCTCGATTGCGGTGGGCGATTAACCGCCTGCAGGATGACGGCAGGATCATCCGTATCCGGACGTTTGCGGCATTGCGGCATTGGATTCTCAATTATTTTGTGGATGATTTTGTGCCCGAGTATGATCTCCGCGGTCATTTCTGTGAGACGATCAATAGCATGTACGATGATGTCAAGTCTCGACAGGGCGGTGGCATGAGTGATCTCAAGATCCTCATAGATCTCAAACGCTGCTGGTATGGGAAGTCTTCTCTCTATTGGGACTTGCCGAGTGACCACGACGTGTTCCAAAGCCCTGACGTTGCCATCCTTCCGGGTGACCGCGAAGCTGACCCTTTGGAGATGGCGGGTGGCGGTGACCTTCTGGCCCTGGTGCGTACCAAAAGCGGGCTGGAAGCTAGCCCTCCGGGCACACAATATCGTCCGAATCATCACAGCCGAAACAATTCGTCAAACACAGTGAAGAGTGTGCCAATTTCAGCCGGAAGTGACCGGAGCTTTCAGGCAATCTCCTGTTCCTTGCCCCCCAAGTCTCCGAAGCGTCTGTCCTTGTCCTTGGCCCACAAGGCACCCCATCCCGTACCTCTTATGCCACTGAAGCCAACTTCCTCACGGGAAGCTTATCCGCCTTCTCCTCTTACTTCGCGCCGCTATCCCTATCTTGGACATTCTCACAAGCGTAGCGGCAGCTTCTCTGACTCTGTTCGAGATGACAGGGCACCCTTCTCTCTGGTCAACCCCGAGCAACAGGGTGTGGCCGCCAGACAGGAGGCGCTTGATCTCAGCAGTCTAATACGAGGAGAGCTCTATCCTCCGGCGGAGTCGTACACTATCATGATGGCGCCTCCATCCCCGCCTCTTCCATCGTCAGCTAAGGACCTTGCCTCAGACCGCCGAAGCACCTCTCACGGCGTTCACAAACCGGCCGCTTCAACCTCTGGCGTCAAGACAATCATTGGCTCAATTCGCCGGGCTTTGAATAGTCGACATGGCGCTTCTGGTAGCCTTTCACGGGCGATGAATAGACCGGCAAATGCATCTCTTCCGGGGAGGACATCGGCTCTCCCAACTAATGTCGCATTCGGATCTGATGCCTATAGAGGTAGAAAGACGGCGACTGGGGTCAAAAGGCCCACGAGAATCGATACCCTCTGTGACGAGGTTTTGAAGCAGTATCGTGCTGCTATCTCTGAACAAACCGATACTACAGGAGGCTCCCAGTCTGCCGATTCACAGAACCAGGCAGAACTTCATTTTTCGGCGCCTGGAATGCCGAGAGCGACAAGTCAGGTTACTGCGGGTAGTGAATCCATCGTCATCGTAGATGGAACAGGCCTGGGTCTACCTGTTATGTCTGGCGCTATTGGAGAAGCGAATGCAGGACTCCAACAGCCTCCTGGATTTTTGGAGGCGGAGCCATCGCCTGCAACAGTCAGAGCTCCATCCCCGTACGCTCCACACCAACGATCGACTTTAGCGACCGATGAATATTCTTTGCCTATCTTCTACGACGAACCCAATCCTGGCCCCTCAAGCCGAGCGTCTAAGTTCCTGCGCCCCTCCAGATTTTCGGAAGCCTCGCGCAGGTCATACTCCGTTGAGCGGGCTTCGACTTCGTGGAAAAGAACATCGTCTTCGTTGCGTTTACGGAAGTACGCGTCCTTCCAAAGTGGAGTCTCGAAGCACCGTCTCACCATGGGAAGTGACTCCGTCCCCCCTCTACCCCCTGGAAGCTTGCAGCAACCCTTGGATAAACCCTCTGGACCGACACTACGTAGGCGTCCTGGTGGAGACTTGCGTCAAATGCGAAACGGCGGCGGCTTCCAATCCAGACCCGATTCAGGGTCCTTTGTTTCTGATATCACATATCGTAGTTCTGGTGCTGACACGGCTGTTACTCGGGTTGATGAGCCGTATTCGCGACCCCAGACGAGTCTCATCCCTCCGAACCCTCGGTTTTCGTTATTGACAACTCACTCGTCACAGAACCTGCGGCGTTCCTTTGAGGATGCTATTGCACAGTTCGCACAGATCCCAGATGACGATGATGGGGGTGTCGAGTCAACGCTATTGAAGCTCGAAGGGAAATGGCATGGGACGTCTGCTGGGGATGCTGAGGCTTCTGCTGCTGGGTCAGATCAGTACCTACAGCACTACAATCCAGGTGAGGTCACTGGGGAGGATTGGCTCCGTCAGAGCCGTGGTAGCGCAGGACCCCACAGCTTTGCGAACTCGAATGCGGTGGCTAGGAGACGCCAAACCTTCCTTGGTGATGGTCTGACATACTCGCAAGTTCAGGGACGCATCGTTCCTCAACGACCATATTCTGACTCGATCGCGGAGTCCGAAGACTCCTACAGCTCTATACCTCTCCTAGAACGGGGATTGAGTGATGAGTCAATGAAGAAGCCCGTCGTTAGCCGCCCGACGTCTCATATGGCCGGGCCTTCCCGCTTTCAACCCAGTTTCTCCAGCCGTGAGACATCGGATGTGGAGTCCTCTCACCCCTCTATTAACATTGTGAAGGAGACCGAGAGTATGAAGCGCATCCCGCGAGGTTCAACACTCCCAGGCATCTCCTCTGGGTCGAGAAAGCATACAGGGCGTCTTTCTGGGTTGTCATCTGGGATTTCAATTGATATGATTGATTCGCAAGAGGCTGCAGAGCAACGTTTCTCCATAGATACACAAAGCATGACCGATTCATCTCTCGGTATTCCGCCTCATCCGCTCGCTCATCCACCCTCCCCTCCAATGACGGTCCAAAATACCCGATCCGTGGGATCTTGGACTACGCCGTTGAACCCGGTGCTGTTCCAGGCCCAGCCATTAACACCAGATCCTTCTCCCAGAAACAAAATGGCACAGCAAGCGAATACTCGACCCCTCAACACGCAGCAGGTTTCAGGAGATGTTCTTTCCCAGTCAGAAAAGGGTCGCCGACTCCCGGAACCATTGAAGGCAGCGGGCCCTGAGCATGTGCCATTTGTTCTATCGTGCGAATCGCATGTCCTTGCCCAGCAACTGACATTGGTGGAGATGGCTGCCTTGAGTGAAGTTGACTGGAGGGATCTGGTGGACATGCGATGGAGCAGTGGGTCACCCACCGTGTTGAGTTGGGTGCAATTCCTCATGGAAGACGAGCACAGGGGCATTGACCTTGTTGTGGGACGATTCAACTTGATGGTTAGATGGGTGCTCTCAGAAATTGTCCTCACGCAAGATATCCACGAACGAGCGCGAACGATTGCCAAATTCATCCACACGGCAGCACATGCCAGAAGAATGTGCAACTATGCCACAATGCTCCAGATTGCCATTGCTCTCTCTTCGACCGACTGCTCTCGCCTTCAGGCTACCTGGGACCTGGTACCCGTTTCCGACAAGCGTCTGCTCAAGGACATGGAATCGCTAACGCAGCCCATTCGCAATTTCCATGAGCTTCGTCTCGAGATGGAAATGGCCAATGCGCAAGATGGTTGCATTCCATTTGTTGGTAAGTTCCCTTTACCGTTGACATATGGTGATTAAAAAGCTAATCTGCTTTCTTAGGCCTGTATGTCCACGACTTGACGTATAATGCGCAGAAGCCAGCACGAGTCACGACACAGGATGGAGAGTCCCTGATCAACTTTGAGCGCTACCGCACCACCGCGAAGATAGTCAAAAGCCTCCTTCGACTGATTGATGCGAGCACGAGGTATCGATTCGAGCCTGTGCCGGGTATCATTGAGCGTTGTCTCTGGATTGCATCACTTTCGGAGGAGCAAGTCCAACTGCGCAGTAAGCAGTTGGAGTAAATCATCTGTCTCAGTACGCTAGAGGCACAGCAAAGAAATAACCGAACACCAAAGAAGGAATACCAAACAGGTGGAAAAGAGAAAAACCGAAAAAAGAAAAAGAAAGCATACGAAAGACTTGCATTGAGGAGTTATCCATTCGGGTCACCAGCGCACCTAATATACCCCAAGCATATCGTCCGTCTATGATTACCAGCGACCAAGATATCCTCGACGAAGTTTACTTTTGCACCCACGAGTCAGGGTTGGCATTTTGATACCAAGTTACCATGTACAATAGCATTGCATTTGTCTGCGAAGGAGGTTATTTTTGTGGATTTTTGGGATTGGTGGTATAATTTTGGGGATTTATTCTTTTGCATTTTGGGTTCATGAAGCGATATCCACATGGTTAGGGATGATAGGATGGTGGTAGCATTGATATGGAAGCGACGTTATCCCCGTGGCAGGGGAAGGAATACTTTTTTATTGAAATAATGATGAAACTCTTGGAAGTAAGCAGAATCTGTAACCTGACTAACGGGATGGAAGGAAATCGCAGCAGCTGAAGCGAGTGGAGCGGGCGAGTTTCATCGGCCGGGAACATCCCAATCTCCTCTCTGTCTCCCAGGCTGCCGTTCCGCCTTGCTTTCTCCCTCCCTCTCTCTCTCTCCCTGAACATCATCTCTCACCCAAATTATTCCCCACCTTCCATTCCACTTACCCTGGGAAACAGAAACTATTCCAAAGGAGGCTGACCCTCCCGTGTGTGTCCCGTCTTATTTCCTCCTCCATGGAGCGAGAGCCAGAGCTTCTTTGCCCGACTCCCTCCCCTCCCTCCTTTGTTGGTTCCTGACGTTATCGCACTTCCCACCCGCCATGGACGCCTCCGGATCCCCCCGCGGGGCGTCGGACGACCTCGACCGCAGCGACCCCGATCTGGCCGACCGCAGCGCGGCACGCAAGTCCTTACACGCTGCAGGACTGCCGGACGATCTCCCTAAGTCCTTGGACGACCGTCGTTCTATCCCTCTCATCCAGCCCGAAACGGAGATGTATGATGCCTGGCAAGGTGCGTTACCACCTCTCCTTACTTGTCGCGCATGAAAGAGGACCCTAGTGCAAGCGACTATACTTGCTTTTTCTGGACAGTCGGAGGAATACACGATCCGACAAACCCAGAAGTCCCCGTGAGATCGAATATAACGAGAAGTGTAACAGGTGGCTGATCCGTTTCCGCTCCGCAGGCCAATCCCAATTCCTCACCACACCCGTGGCCGCAAAACCATTGAGCTTCAGTCTAGCCCTCGACGACCACACCCATGACGAAGAACATAACCTACAGGCCCAGTACGGGCGCGGACTGGCCGCATCGACCGACGACGATAACGAATCCACAACCACTGCCCGGCTGGAAGACAGTGATGCCCGGTTGATGGAGATGCTTGCTGCGCAGGCTGCTCACCGGGAAGTCGAGTCGCTAGGTGCGGACGAGGAAGCTATCGCAACGGATGAGAAGCTATCGGACGCAGAGAAGAAAGATATTTTACAGCGCAGCTTGAATATGGCGGCTAGTAACGGCGACGTGGAACGTGTTCGGCGACTAGTGCAAGGCCATGCGGCTGAATATGTCGATGTGAATAAGCCGGATGAAGAGGGGACGGTGCCGTTGATCTATGCTAGTTGCTTCGTACGTGCCGCTCTTTAACTCATTTGTCTGTTTGGATATGCGCGAAACTAATCCTCGGCGTAGGGACACCAAGATGTTGTCTCAGCGCTTCTCGATGCAGGCTCCCATATCGACCAGCAGGACCGGAATCAGTGGAGTGCCTTGATGTGGGCCATGACAAACAGACACAAGACAATCGCGAAGATCCTTCTCGACCACGGTGCGTCTCCGGATATCAAGTCCTCGTCGGGCGGGACGGCGTTCGACTTTGCACAGCCTGGTAGCGAGATTTCAGAGTATCTGCATGAAAATGGTTACCACTTTGGGCCGAGTGCGATCGAAGACGATTTCTATGATTCCGGGTTTGGACACGGTCGCTTCGAGGAGGAGATTGCTGAGAATGAATTGAAGCGGCGCATGATGATGGAAGAGAGCGCTATCAATCTTGAGGTGGACCTATCGAGCCTGGGGCTCGACGAAAAGTTTGACGTGAGTGGATGAGTTGAAAAGAGTGTGCCAAAGTAGCAGCTAACCAGGTCATTCGTTCGTCAACTACAGTCGTTAGATGAAGAGGAGCTTGAAGAAGAACAGCAAGAATTCGTGTGGGATCGGTGTCTGAACGATCAGATGTTCGTCTTTCAGGAGAGCGAGCTCGAACGGATCCTCAACATCATCATCACCAACATGACACCGCAACGTTCGCCCTCGCAGAAACCCGTCCCCGCGAACCTACTCTTTCTCAGTGCTCGATATGCGCACTACCATGCTAGTCCCGAATTGCTTGCTAAGCTGCTCGTTTCCGCGACCGAGAAGATCAACGATGTCGTTGAGCGCCATCAGTGGGACATGACGATCCTGGCTTTTTGGATGTCAAATGCGACGTTGTTGCTACATTACTTGAAGAAGGATGGCGGGCTGGTGGAATCTACGGTGGAATTCCAGCTACACCTGGCCGAGCTTATCAATGAAATCTTCATTCTCATCATCCGCGACGCCGAGCGTCGCATGAACAAAGTGCTCGACGCCGCCATGCTAGACCATGAGACCATTCCGGGGCTAGAGGACGTCCACTTTCAAAATGAGTGGAAGCTCTTCCGCTCCAAATCCAAGAAAACGCCCGAACCGGCGGAGAAGCGCTTTCGACCTCCATCCCCCAGACGGCGCGCACAAGTGTCTCCGCGCAACATCACTTCTCTCCTCTCCTCTACGCTCTTTGTCCTGGATCTCTACGATGTACACTCCGTCATCACCACACAGATTATCTCTCAGCTCCTGTACTGGCTTGGAGCTGAAACCTTCAACCGCATCATGTCGACCAAGCGCTACCTGGCCCGGACTAAGGCGATGCAGATTCGCATGAATGTGTCGACCTTGGAGGATTGGGCGCGAAACAATAACCGCCAACCGGAACATTATGAGAATGGATCGACGAGTAGCACGGGCGAGAGCACGATGGAATCCGCGCGCCGGCATTTGGCGCCAGTCATTCAACTCTTACAGTGGCTTCAATGTTTCTCGTCGCTTGGGGACGATTTTGAGTCACTTGTTACGACTCTGCTCCAGCTGCAGCAACTCACCCCGGCGCAACTCTTGCATGCGGTCAAGTCGTATCGGCCCGAGGTCGGGGAGAAGGGACTGACCAAGCCGGCTATGAAGTTCTTGATTGAGCTACAGCGCGATCCGGGGCTGCTGTTCCGAGAGCAAGCGAAGCTTCAGGCACCCAAGCAAAACACCGCGGCACCCGAGGCAGGACCTACCGATGGACGCCCACAGACCCCTCCGGCCTCAACAGCTTCAGAGACGGCCGGATCCCCATCCACGCGAGCGTCCGTAGCCTCGCCTGGCTCGAGCGTAGCGTCTCCGCACCCAGGCCCGTCGGCGTGGATGGATGAGCGCAGTAACAACGTATTCCTGGACCCGTCCCTCACGCTCCCCTTCTCGCTACCCACGAGCACAGATATGCTGATTAGTTACGGGGCGGGCTGGGGCGGCACGAACCGAGAACGCGCGCGCAAGTATATACCGACGGTACCTCCGGAGGTGCTGAGTCGGTTCGACCGGGACAGCTGAAGGGCATGAGGAAACAGGGGGATGCGGAACTGGATACCCTGGGATTGCATTTCTAGTATATATAGCTTTCATTTATTACTTCCCTGATCTGGTGAGCATGTTTGGAACTTAGCCGGAACTGATAGATTTTCCTCCTACCTGTACTGGCTGGCTGGTGTACGTCGATACATTGTTTGTGTTACGTAGCGTGTTCCCCAGCGATGAAGAAAGGGAAAGAATCTAAGTAAAGAACAAATACCATGAATCCACAAGAAAGCGGAAAACAAAAAAAAAGAAAAGATAGTAGAAACAGCAGGTAGCAAGTGACGAGCGTCAGAGATAAAGACCCCGCCAAGCCCACAAGCGAAGAAGATGATGATGAGCAGAAATGTTTCCCGAATGGGGGCTCGGGAGATGAAACGCAAGAGGGCGGGCAAATGATATCTAATCTTCTTCTTCTAGTTTAGTATGAACTAGAAACTAGTTAGTTGGTAAGTAAGTTAGTAAGTTAGTGAGTTAGTCTAGTTCTAGACTTACTGACAGTCAGCCCCAAAAGGGCCGTGCCATGCCATATCCATCCATTCCAAGTCTTTGGGGCAAGCAAGCTTCCACCCACTAGGTCCACTCTTTTTTTCCCTTCTGTTGACGACTACTTTCTATCTAGTAGATAGACATGGTTACAGAATTAATTCATAGATAGGTAAGTAGGCTGGTAGATGGTAGATTGTGGGAATAAAATTAAATCAATCAATGAATCAATCACAGCTGGCTAGATTCATTACGTGGGGGAGATTACTACTAGTTATTTTATTTATTTTTCCAGTTAGAAACAAAACAGTAGGGCCCGAAATCGAAATGGGAAATGGATCCCTAAAAGCATGACGAGTCGCGCACTCCCGTTCGTCGTCATCACCCAACGCCCCCGATTCCTGTCTACGCAAGTGAATCTCCACTTGGGGAGGGATGAGATCGCGGTAGATATATAAACTAGTCAAGGGGGGGAGGGGGAGGGAATCAATGGGGAGATAACATATTATTTGCTTGGTTTTAAAATCTGTCAGTGCTTTTTTTACTCTTTTACTTGCCCTTCTGAGATACTTTTTTCCTCTTCTTCTCTTCTTTTTCCCCCCTGGCTGGCCTTGCATCCTCAGGCTGTCAATTCCCGATCCAGACTAGTGTATAGCGGGGACCTGTCCCGATTGGGTAAGTGTGTCTTTCCTCTTTGGGGTGCTGCCCTGTTTGGGCAATTACGATGCTTTCCAGTTCCTTCCCTTTCCTGTCGCTCTTTCTTTTCTCTTCTCTTCTCTTGGAATTCATCTTCTTTGCCAACTTGTCTTCTATCTATTGTTCATACTGTCTACTGTTCATTCATTCGAGTGATTGCTCTTGTGTGGGCTGCTAGACATACTCCCTCTCCCGTTTAGTTTCCAGCTGCCATTCCCCGTGTGCATGAAACCAACTACTAGTACTCCGTCTACTTCCATCTACTACTTGTTCCCTTCTACTACTTCCACTACCCTCCCAGGAAAGAAGATGCCTCTGTGCATCCTTTCTTTTCGTGCCCTCCCCGTCCCTCTTGGTCCCTCCTGACTTAATGGTTTCCAATTTCTTTCATGTATATTCTTGTCGATCATCTTGTCGTGTGGAGCGGTGATCCCCTCGTTATCTTTCTGCCTATCTATCTCCGCATCTAGTTCATGCTGTCTGTTGTTTTCTCTCTCTCTACGTCCATCTGAAAATCGGGCTTCTTGACCGCTCTCCACCCATATTCCAGCTCAATTGAGCCCGAATGCAAACTCCAGAAGAATCATGCTGCTTACACTGAAGCCTGCCTCCCAGAACGGAGTTAAAGGTCCTCATGAGTACTCCATTGTTCGCCAGTCCGTTCCAACCCCACGGTCATCCCCGCCCCCCGTGCCTGACCTACCAGCAGCGGTCACCGCACCCTCAACAAGCTCCTCTGCGGACCGCTCCATGGACCCCTCGCGCTCAGGATTGCCGCCTCCTGCCTCGTTGACCTTACCGCCTCCCAATGTGGGCTTTGCCAATGTGTCTGGCTCTGCGATGAACCAGCCACTCCCGCCGCCCCCGGGCCAATGGCAGTCCTCGGATGACTCCATGCGACAATGGCTCCAGGCCAAAGCGGAGGAAGATCGGAGGAAGCAGGAAGAAGAGAAGACGCGCCAAGAGACCTTGCGACTCGAACAGCGGAGGGTTGAGCAAAGTATGCTTCGTGATTCCTTGCAGGCCGGTGTCCCACCTCAGATGATCCCGCTCATCTTTGCCGGCATCAGTCCCGGCGGTCTGCCAGCATCGATGCTCGAACTTACTCAACAATACCTAACTCAACCCTCTGCACCTCGCGGTCCTGCTCCGCAGATGCCTGTCATGTCTCATGCACATCCCCATGCCCAGCGCAGGCCTACACATGTCCGCCAAGACTCCCGTACCATTCCCTCAAATGCATATGTTGCTCCACCGGTGCACCCTCAGACTGTGCCCCCTCCGGGAGTTCTGCTATCTCAGCCATTGCATACTGTTGGAGCCTCTCCTACCCCGCAACCGCTGGGTCGTCCGTCAGTATCCAATGGCCCCGCTGATCCACGCTTTGCTGTTGCAGCTATCCCTCGCATGAACCCTGGGGAGTCACAGCTCCAACCGCCCATTAATCTCAGCAACGTGCACTATGCCCCAGGTTCGTCCATCCCGTCAACTCAGCCTCCGCGGGGCAAGTCAGATTCTTCGTCTCGCCAGTCCCCTCCATCCCTATACTTCCACCACTGGGTCCCTCCAGGTCAGACGGCAGGACATGCGCAATCGGGAAGAGGTAGGCAGGAATCACCGGGTGCCGTACAAGGATCTCGGCATGTGGATTCCAATGTCTCTCCCGGACGGAAGAGGAAGGCCCATGGGGCACACCATCCAGCGCCATTGCCATCGTCTCGTCCCCCGGAATCCTTCCCTGGCTCTTCGCAGACATCTCAGCCAGGGTCTCCGGCCCAGGAATATCAGACCGAGCAAGCAGCACCGCCAACGCATCACCATCACTCTCTCCCAAGATCGAGTGATGCATCTGCTCCGTACCAGACACCGGCGGAAGATGTAAAACGTGAGCACCGCAGTCGAGGTACTAGCCCGACCCACTCTTCAGAACGCATGATTGTGGATGATGCTAGATCAAATCAGCGTGCTCGAGCTGATAATGAGGACCATTATGAAGAGAACAATACTTCTGCAGGACATGCCACCTCGCCCCATACAGTTCGGGTACAGCGAAGCGAAGCAGCCTCTTATCACGATCCTCGCAGCAGTCCTGCCCGCTCACCAACAGCAAAAGCTTTGCAACTGTCCCAAGAGCATAATCTGGCCTCGGGACACTAGGATGAATGTGGTTATCATGGGGCTTATTGCTGTCTCTGATGCCACACTTATCAGTGCAGACAAGTGACGTCTTGCATTTAGAGCCACGGCCTTTCGCATCCGCCAGATGCATGTTAGCAATTGCAGGGAAAGTTGTCCATCACAGTTATTCTGTACTTTCAGAAATTCCCTCTCTTGATTCAAGCGTTTTTGGATTTGCTGCAGATACCATTCTTCGTTGCGTTTCTCCTAAGTTATTCGTTTTCAATTCTTTTCGTATACCATATTGATATATGAGTTACCCTCGACTGGATCGCGGCGGTCACCAGGAATCTGGTGCATTTCTGAGCTCTGTTGTCCTGCAGCTGGGCTGATGGGACTGACCAAAAGTCCTGGGGGGATATATGTTGATACCACAATGCGCGTGATTAGCCTTTTATAGAGTGTGGATTTGTGGTTTTACGGAACACAATCGGCATGTTGCTTTGGTGAAGACGTGTTGGAGATATGTTGCCGAGATTTTCTATTATGATTTGATACAGTCAACTAGTTATGGTTACAGATGAGACTCTAGTAGACGAGGGACTAGCTAGCTAGCTACATAGGCAAGACCAGGGTAGATAGATAGATAGATAGATGCATAGACAGTCAGGATTGGATCCCCGCACGACAATAACTGTGGCGGTTACCACCTGGCAAGTTCGATGAAACACAGACAAGACATGAACAACGTCAAAGATAGACCACGAAGTAAAACGCAAGATGAGACAAGACAGGCATACAGACAGACAACAAAGAAAAGAACCGATAACGATAGAAACAAAATAAGAATAAAAGGGGTATCAGAGTCAACAACAAGGTATTAAGTATGTAGTTGGTTTGGTCCCTAGTATATAGGAGGTGGTCGGGTAGTGTGCAGTGTAGTAAGAAAAACAGAAGCAGATGACAGAGACAGACAGACAGACAGTAAGGAAATATCAAAGGGAAGGGCAGCAGATGTATGGATAGGTAGAGTGATAGACAGGATAAGGAAATTGATAATGGAAAATGAAAGTTCACGAATGGGTCGGGGTGGGTTATAGTGATGGTAGGTATGTATGTATGTATGGTGGATGGGTGTGTGCATCCATCATGTATCTGTATCTGTATCTGTGTCTGGACACGGAGTGTGTTCAGGTGACAGGCATGTGTCTAGACACCTTGGGTCTTCTTTCGAGAAGAGCCGAAGAAAGGTAAGGTATGTATGTATGTATTATCGATAAAGTGAGGGTGCGCGTATGTATCTGTGTAAGCTGTGTATGTATGTAGACCGAGCGAGTACGTATGTATGTATGTATGTTGTATGTATGAGATCCATTCGTAGTTCGAGAGACGGACAAACAAACAAACAGACAATAGTTGTTGGTTGTTGATTGCTGTCATCGAACGAGGTAGTGAGTGATTGATATCGTAATGTGAGAGCCGTCAAAGAGAAGTAGAATCCATGAAATAAAAATGTAAAGAGAAGTAAGTAGCAATGTCGAAGAAGAAGAATAACTGTATTATAAATGAAAGAAACAAAAACGACTTTTGTTCATTCATCAAGAATTCGTCGGGTCGAATCGTAAAAATGGGTAGGTATGATGTGGAGGGGGTGAGGATCGAGTAGTTAAGTATATTAT